GAATCTACAGTGACATCATCTGCAGGTGACACGTCTATAGTAACAACCGAAGATACATCCACAGTAGACTCCAGTGTTACGGAAACAACAACTGCATCATCTAGTGAAGAAGCTACAGTGATATCGTCTGCGACATCAGTAGAAGACACATCTACAGTAGACGCCAGTGTTACAGAGACAGCTACTACATCATCCAGTGAGGAATCTACAGTCACATCATCTGCAGGTGACACATCTGTAGGAACAACTGAAGAAACATCTACAGTAGACTCCATTGCTTCGGAGACTTCAATTGCATCATCTAGTGAAGAAGCTACAGTGACATTATCTGTGACAACAGCCGAAATCACATCTACAGTACACGCCAGTGTTACAGAGACAGCTACAACATCATCCAGTGTGGAAGCTACAGTGACATCATCTGCAGGTGACACGTCTATAGTAACAACCGAAGAAACATCTACAGTAGACGCCAGTGTAACAGAGACGGCTACTGCATCATCCAGTGACGAATCTACCGTGACATCATCTGCAGGTGACACGTCTATAGTAACAACCGAAGAAACATCCACTGTAGACTCCAGTGTTACGGAGACAGCAACATCATCATCTAGTGAAGAAGCTACAGTGACATCATCTGCGACAACAGAAGAAGACACATCTACAGTAGACTCCAGTGTTACGGAGACAACAACAGCATCATCTAGTGAAGAAGCTACAGTGACATCGTCTGCGACAACAGTACAAGACAGATCTACAACTGATGAAACATATACATTAGACTCTAGTATTACAGAGACTATTACTGTATCATTCAGTGAGGAATCATCTACAGTAGGACCCAGCGGAACGGGCACATCATCCATTGTGGAGCCTACAGTAACACTGACCTCGTCTTCATCAAGTAGTACTGCGTTTGCCTCGTCTACTACCCCTAGCCCAACTACCCAGGTCCCCCCTTCAGGTATATCGAGATACCTACGCGAAAACAGTTTTATATTCATTGGAAATTTGTGGAATATTTCATGTCTTTCATCCCCATTTTTCACACGACGTCTATGTGCCAGGCACAGTATATATAAACATATATGGTAACGGCACCAAATACGGGACTTACCCGCGAATTTAAGTATTTCTCTTTCTCAAGAAGCGTTGCTCCATCTGTCCCTACACATGGGTTCGATTTTCTTTTATGATTAAGTCTTGCACTTAAATTTGAAGGGTTTGATTATTTTAAAGGTCTGAATTTAGCAATGCAAGGCATTTAGACATTGAGAAGACAGCTTTGGGAAATGTTTATACGCGCACAGTATCATTTTAGCTGTCTACAGCGCGGGAGTAACGAAACTAAGGATGCATTCCCATAGATTTAGATCGTTCCAGAGATTTAGATTTAGATCGACCTAACTCCCTGGGGGTTCACGCTAAATTGGACTCAGCCGAGCGCGCACCATAATTACTTACAGCTTTTAATAGGCGGGAAAGACGCTTAAGCCGGCTAAGCTGACAGTAATCTAGTGAGACTTCCCACAGGGATGGATCGATCTAAAATCTATGGGAATGGGGTCTAACTATCTGTTTAACAGAGTCCGCCCTCCACTTGATTATATAGGTTAGGATTAACCTGACGTAAGTGGGTCAGAATCTAGGTCGAGGTTTACCAGTACAAATTAATGGGAAGCGGACTCTTATCATTGAGGACTCTATCGTGTCACGACGGCAAAACTACATGACATATTTTTGTATCTTCAGACAGAAAAGGCAAACCTCATTATCCTGCGAGAGAATTCCAGAACTTCAGCTCAGACACGTGTTACGACGCCCTTGATGACAACACATCACCACAAATTAAATTCAAATATGAGTTCTGCATGGGTCAAAGGTCGTACTTTGATGCCTACGTGAGTGCAATTAATATTTCAAAATGTCAAAACATTTAATAGCACTTTCTAAAAAGGTTGTGTTAAATTGTCATCCTCAAGAATTAGCAAATCATATCAATTCAGACTGCGTTGTCTGAGGCCCTGTCCCAGTAATTCGCATGCTTTTAATTAAATATTTCATCTATAAATGTGTTACTAGTATTTGTGAAATAACAGTAGTATATCTCGTATGACATAACCTTAAATGGCTTGAATTTCGAATCATATTTCCACAGGTATGCACGAATGGTCTGGTGTCATTTGGGTCACGATTCTGTGCCTTCTCCCCCGTGGCGTTCCCGTTACAGGGTCAACCTTTCAGCAGTATCCCCATCGTTGCTCCTTTCTGGTCCGACCTGGATGCAAGAAACAAATCTCGCGGGGCAAGTGTCTGCTACGCGACATATGACTACTATGCTGATTACAACACCAGCAGCACTGCACGTACTGTCATTGACCTTTGTAGAGATCACGTGAGGACGTACCTGAACGATACCGACTTTCAGCCGTCGATGGTGTTTGTAGTCACGTGGCACAGAATGAATCCGTACAGCCCAAATGGAAACGTGTATCTTAATTCAGAGGTAGTCTTGTTCAGTTTATCGAGTCCATGGTATTTTGTCAACTTTTTCACCTAAAGGACATAGATACTCATTAACTATTTGGCTATATGATAAGGCATATACATATGTACATGTACATGTACTACTACTAACTTAAGCGCCCTTTATCTGGTTAATAAATAACAAAACTATACGGAGCAAATTCAGTTAGCCACTTGAAATTTGACAATACGTAAGCAGTTACATTGCCTTGTATCAGGGCACATGAAAAGGCTTCTTAGAATAAAAACATTGTGTTACTACTGAACAAAAATAAAACCAGCCACAGTCAGTTGTAAATAAACGTCGTTGTATTATCGTTTCAGGAAACCACGTTTCAGCTTGCCCTTTGTACGAATGAGCTTACAACGTATGCGGTGTATCTTTATCCTTTCAATATGACAGTCTTTGACTTCACGAACCTGAAACTTCTGGGACGTGTTGGATATACCACCGGTAATGGCAATGCATACTTTAACGCGTACACATCTGGCCGTACGCTTAGCCAAGCCTTTTCTATGGATAAAGTCACTGGAAATACAGGTATAAGTTAAACGTGTTTTCATATTGATAAAAAAACATTTGTCATTTGTCTCTCTTTTTTTATTTAATTACTATAAAATAGAGTCATTTTTTGAAATATTTTGTTTTCTTTGGCACTGCACGAAACATGTACTTTCACTACTTGATGGGTAGGTTCCATGATGTCGATAGAAGAAAATGCATAATTACATATACATTTTTGCAATACACGTCTTTATGTGCTATGTTTTCCAGGAATACGGGGTTTATGGGCGTTTAGACTGTGCACACGGCCACCTAGACCAAACTACGACCAGCTATGCAGAGACTGGGCAGCAGAGCAAAGGACAGACCAGATACTTTTGTTCAATCGATTTTCCACTGTTATAATGCCTCAATGTCCGTGCACACTTGCACAGGCGGCATTCAACCGCATGTTTGTGTATTACTCAGGTGAGCGAAAATGAAATGGCGCCAAGGAGTAACCGTGACGTAGGCGGTGACGTCATCATCTGGGTTTACTTACAATCTCGTTCGGACGAGAAAGTAACTGCTGCAGTCATCAAATTCATTGATATATGATTATATGATAAACGTATTTATTATGTAATTAACATGGAATGCAATCTTATATCCGGGTCGATCTCATATGCTGACTAGACTCCCTATTCACTGATGACTTCACCACCAAATATGCTTACAAGTACTTTAGATAACCGAAGATGTGATTCATGATCTGTGCAAAACTTTAATTTCTTTTACAAATACATATAATTCTTACTTCTATTGCAGTAATTTTAACGCTGCAGTAGATGTCTTATAATGTGGTTTTATTTAAACATTAAGCAAATTAGTAATATAAAAATTCATTTACACTTACATTTCATTTACAACTTCAACCCATTAGGCTGCAAACATATAAATAACTCATTAATAATAATAATAATAGTAATATGCCAAACGGCATATTAATCTCAACCAAAGTTAATCAGTGTACAATATCATTGATACAGACTATAATGTAGATAACTAGCAGTCACCAACTTCGTACTGTCATCATAATCTGAGTATAATCTAACTTTTCAGCATCACCAGGAATCATATGTGGCCGAATACGGTTTTGGGGGAGAATTGTACTCCGCGGGTTTCAATTTGGAAAGGTATGTGTTTGCTTTGACAAATGGTACGCATCTGTGGTTTATATATATATATATATGTTTCAAACGTTGTGGCCACTTCGCCACTATGTCTTTTTCAACCCGTTTAAATTCCTGTTAGTTTCATGATGTTGCTATTAAGTGGTAGTGAATAGAACCAAATGGTACTCCCATCCCAAAATTTAATAATAATAATAATAATAATAATAACAAATATGGTCCTTAATTATGGACATCTTGCTGTATTGATATTGTCTAAATGTCAAGAAAAAATACGACAAGCATTAATATATCCTTTTAAACTCGTTTAAAATGTATGCTTCCAGATATTTGCTTAAAAAAGACAGTTTTGGGGTCATTACAATACATGTCCTATGCTTTATATTTACTTCATCCTTGAGGTGGTAATAAATAAGTAATTACATGTATAAAAAAATGCTAGTCCTAACATGAAATTTAATAGCTGTGCTCCATTTATTCTTCTCACTGTACTGTAAATGTATACAGAATGTATTTTATTACATGATATGTCACTTCGTTATCTTACACAGACGTGTTGCTACGATACTGACCCGAATTCAGAATCGTTTGGGGCCCTTTTAACACAAAGAACATACGAGGCAGGAGCATTCCAATTGTACAACCCTGGGATACCATGGTTCAATGCTCTACACGATCGGTACGATGTTTTACCTAAGGTCTACTGCTGCCGGGAGTCAACTCTGTGTGACCTGTATTACCTGTATAGACCGATGGACACGTGTGCTTTCTTCAGACCACCTAGACTTTGTGAGTTACATGTCTGCCCGTTTCGTTGAATTTTTTCTACATCTCTGTACGCCATTTGATTCTCATAATTGTTTCTGCAAATTGCATTTTTTTCTTACATCCTACTTATTTAAAAAAGTAAACGTAAATTCCTTCTTTAAAAATTGCAAAGGCGACATATATTAGTCCACATTCTGTTTCTCAATCAATTAATGTGAAAAAATCGAATGCTCCTTTCTACAATAATCAGATATCGTACGCTCTATCTGTACGGGTACCTCGTCTTTTATTCAGCATTTTTCTGGGGAGACCCTCACATCACCACCATGGACCAGGTCTCGTACACCTTCAACGGGCTTGGGGAATACACGCTCCTTCAGGTGTCCAACGACAGATTTGTCTTGCAAGGACGCACAGGACTGGCAGTGGCCGCCAGCGGGTCTGAAGCGACTAATGCCACGGTCTTCACTGCAGTGGCTGCCAGGGATAACGACTCCGATATCGTCACCGTCCGACTGGACTCAACTAGACAGCGTAAGTCTACTATTGATTCATGGCTGCATCAATGAATACAGGCAGATGATACTGAACTGACGATTTCCTCGCCTGTTTGTTTTAAATTTGTCACATGTTTCCAAGACAAAATTTGTCTAAATTTTCAGGGCATGCGTGTTATTTTTCATTGAGCCATTCAACATGATTACTAGGACAATCACAAAAGCCAAATACATGATCTTAACCAATATGTATATAGATAAGTCATTAATTTTTATTTTATTTTATTTTATTTTATTTTATTTATTTATTTATTTATTTATTTATTTTGCAGATATGGAAATATTCATCAATAATGAATCAGTAAGCAGTCTGATGATAAACAGTAACCACGAATCCTTCAATTACGTCGATTTAGACTATGACCATGTCAATGAGTCCCTTAATATTTCCTTTGCGTCAGGTAAGTGCGCGTGTGCATGCGTAAGTGCATGTGTGTAAGATCGAGAGAGAGAGAGAGACAGATTATTATACATGTACATGTACTGCACTCGTACATAACGAAATATAACTGTAGTTGAACCATCGGATTTAATTTCCTATGATTGTTGTTAGTGACCTTGGAACTTTTCAACCAATATCTTATTTACAAGTAGCTTTACATGATGTTACTTTTACAGGGTTTGCCCTGACAGTATCAAAAGGAATACAGCTCCTGCGCGTCTTCGTGGTTTGTCCAGCAGAGTACACGAACATGACACTAGGGCTGCTGGGAATTTACAACAATGACCCGGATGATGACTTCGCCCTCCCGAACGGCACTGTCCTGTCCATAAATGCCACTGATGAGGAAAGGATTTACTACGAGTTTGGCCAGAAATGTACGTATTTCTATCCCAGTACTACATTTCTGTACTTTTTTAAAATTATTTTTACTACTTTTTGTGCGCTTTTAATAGAGAGGACGGCTTGTGGTGTTTACATGGAACATCATTATGTCCATGCATGGAACCCAGACTGAATTTTTCATCATAGTGAATTTGATTCCAAGAATTATTTGATATAAAATAAAGGAGGTATAGTTTTCTTATGGGCCATAACAATCGCTGCATTTGCATCAAAAGTAATTGTAATCGTTTAGTAGGAACGATATGATGCATGTACCGTTACTACGTACTTGCAGTTTATTTATGCACAATACATGTATGTCCATCATGTCTGTTTATCTAACGCACTGTTTCAGGGCACATCAACCCAAATGAGTCCTTATTTTACTACTCACCTGGCACTGGACCAGCCAACTTCACAGATTCAAATTTCGTTCCTGTTTTCGGCACTGCCATTCCCACTGGAATCAACCAGACCACGGTCGACGAGGCCAAGCGTTTGTGCGGGGATAGCAAACAGTGCATTTTCGATTTCCTTCGCACAAGGTCTTTAGACGTTGCTAAGGATACAAAAGAGACACAACTCACTAACGAGGAACAGGAAAAGACAGTCGGTATGTGGTACATGAGGCCATGTGAAATGCCCCAGTTTAGGAATTACATGTATCATAAGTGACTTTCATTCAAATATGTCAGTATGAAACACACTTAAAAATAGAATAAGTAGAAGAAAATTTGTGTTTTAGAAGAAATCGATCTCAAACCATTCAAAACACCCATGTTTTCTTTTTTTTATACATTCGCCAATCTTCTGTCTCCACAGAAAACCGGGCACCTGTGATTTCCGGGCCTTCAGTTATCAACATTATAGCCAATCAACAGAACGAAATCTTCACAACTTTCGTAGACCCTGACGGGGACAATTTAACGTTTGTTGAGACGGCCGTGTTATCTCTGGGGGCGAACACTTCTATCGTTAATGATACGGCACGGAAAATCACCTGGACTCCAAGCAGTTTCGAAAATAAAGTTAACCTAAGGTACTGAACTTTATAATACTGTATATTTACTTGGACGACGTTTTTTATGTGGAAACAAGTAATTGAAATAGAATATCTGTTATACTAATGATGTAATACTAATGAGACAACTGAATTTCCAGTGCCCTTCACGTCAGAATATAAGATTTTGGGCTGAATATATTAAAGGCCATAGAGCCCATGTCAATTTTGTGGCGTATTCAAAACCATCCGCAATCCATTGTCACAACAGATATTCTATTGGTGCAGAGAAATGTCTTACTAAAAATGTCTTACTAAATAAAAGTTCGTTTTCGTTTTCACCAGTGTCACGGTAAAGGACGGCAAAGGCGGCGTGGCCACTTCAGTCTTCGCTGTGAATATGTGCTCGGGTTGTAATGGTAAAGGCACATGCGACTTCAACACCATACTCGAAGACATGAGTGATGTCTATAAAGTGGTAAAATGCGACTGTTTCACTGGTTACGGGGGTAATTATTTTTATTATTTTTGTTGTTGTTGTTGTTGTTGGAGTTGTTATCATTATTTCAAAAAAGCTTGAAGTTTCTTTTTTTTCAGAAAATTTGTATTTTAGATTGAATTATAAATAATGTCCGCCCCCTGGTCCCCTTTTCCAAATCTCTTGAAGTATTAAACCTAAACAGTTGTTCTTCCATGTTTATAAAAAAACATAGCCTAATTTCTAACTAATCGAATTGTACAGTTTACCCTCATTATTCAAATTTTTTACCACAAAGGAACAGCGCATAGTAAATTGCAATATGAATGTGCCGAAGGAAGAACCGTTATATTTAACAAAATCGTTGAAGAAAAAGTAACTTCCACCACAAATACAATGTCCTAGCAATGTCTTAACGTGCTTTTCTTTCTTCAGGTGACCACTGTTCTACCTTAATTGACTGGTGTGCTGCGTTTGACCAATGCCCGGAACAGACCACGTGTACAACTCTGCCACCAGAACTCCAAAACGAGGCCAATCACACCTACTTCACGTGTTCGGCTTGTCCAGCAGGATATGAACAGAGAGGCTCTAAATGTATAGGTAATGTAAATAATTCAATTTAAAGTTACAGTTAAATGTAGTAAACTCTAACATTTTAAAACGTTGCGAAAATAGCCTCGATCCGTAGTGAGTTAAACAGGTACTGACCACTGTACATGTACATGTATGTTTTACTTATATGAAAAATATTGAACAATGTTATAAATCGCGCAATCTTTAGAACTTTTACGTCATTTTTAACCAGATGTGGACGAATGTGCCAGGGAAGACACGAATAACTGCACAAGGAACACGAGCGTCTGCGTTAACCTGGTGGGATCCTACTACTGTAACTGCACAGCGGCTGGCTTCAGGAACGATGCGAACGACCCATACACGTGCCAAGGTACGAGGACACGCGCTTACCTTATATTGAGGTCACGCATTAATATAATAGATAGATAGATAGATAGATAGATAGATAGATAATCCCAGCACATACAACAATGTAGTGAGATGATAATATAAATTGCGGGTAAAGTAAACATCGTTCATGTAGAATTTAAAAAGAGAAATGACAACGAGTAAAGATATAGGCCTACATGTAAGTATATTGACATCAAAATCGTTTATGAACACACTAGAACTTGAATGTAAACTGAATAATAAGTGAACAGAAAATGCGCGTAAATGATATATCGATATATATAACGTAACAAACAGTGATTGAGAATTGCGACACAGGTTCGTCCTTATCTGTAATTATTGTTCAGGCTATAAACAATGTCAATCCTTGTATTGCTGCANTCCTTTTTATCCTGGAAAGCTGAATTTCCTCTACAAAATCACTGAACATCTAAGTAACTTGACGTTATTATACTATGTGGTGTCTGAACTATCATAAAAGCACAAAGGAGTGTCGCAAAAAAAAGTCTATTCCTACGGAATGCTAACTACAAAACAGCCACGCTGTTGAAGTGTCCATCAATTTTCTTCGCAATCCTGCCTCCTCACGTAAAAGATCACGCAAATGGGCCGCTTAAGTTTACATTAATCAAAATAAACAAGAAATCGGTTATCCGATTCTTACAGCTGCATTGGGTGCACTGATGTCAAACAACGACAACCAAAATTAATATCAACTATAACAGCTACAGACCATTACACAAATCTTTAATCTTTCACTTTCACAGATGTCGATGAATGCCAGGAGGGAACGTCTGGTTGTGTTCAAGTCTGCAACAATACTGAGGGGCATTTCAAATGTTCCTGTTTCGACGGTTACACGCTGTTCTCAGACGGAGTGTCCTGTACACGTAAGTGACTGACACGTGCATTACATGCAACTGTCTACATATATACATGAATCTAAATGAATCGACATGAATCTAAATCTGAAATAAATTTTTCAGGCGATTTGCTTCCACTGCAGTGTATTTTGCCTAAAAACCCGTAATACTCAATGCCCTTAAGTTTTCCCCTTAGCCGCACAGGTTCTATATATGATAGTACACGATAATTAGTATATCAACATCTTTTTTTTCAAATTTGCATCTCAATCAAAGGAAACTGTAGACACTATTCCTTCTAAATAGTTTTATGGTGTAAGAAAACGGAATTTATTAATATAGAATCGGTTGGTAAATTAGGTATGTTCATCGATATTAAGGCGTGTCATCACATTGTTATTCAGCCACCCAGCCACAACGTTGCCAGGACCTTAACTGCGACCAGTTGTGTTTAATTGATCCCAGTGGGCAGCCAGCCTGTGGATGTTATATAGGCTACAGACTCATAGAGGGATTCCGCTGCATTGGTATGGTTCCATCTTTTCATTAATCTTTATATTACTTTTATATTTTTGATCATTACTATTATCTATTAAACATGTTACATATATCGGTTTGTGCTTGCATTTATAACTTGTATAATAGGGTTTAAGGAATTGAACATGCATTTTTTTATTCAAAGCAAAAGAACGCCTTCTCCCTACTGATTTCTATCAAATCACTACGATCCTATCCTTATCATCACATTTTAGTCTGTTACATTTTAACGATGGCGCGTGTACAGTTATTACCTTCGTTGCTCTGTATAAGCTTTCTTATGTGATGTTGCATTTCACAGATATCAACGAGTGTGAAGACAATCAACTCAACAAGTGCAGCCAGAAATTGAACTGTAAGAACACAGACGGTGGCTATCAATGTCACTGCGACATCGGCTATCAGCTCAGCACAGATCAAAGAACGTGTGTAGGTAAGTAAAGCAGGCGTCACACATACATTTTCATAGTTCTCAAAGTGAAGCGTTCATCTTTTCATTTCCATGATAATGATTTTAAAGGTTAAAAAGGTTGTTAAGAAGTTTCCAGTAGTCGTTGGTTCGTTGGTTGTAGTTTGTTGAAATCGAAGTCCACGTTATTTTATCAGCTAATTAATGCCATTAATACCTCTCACAACCAACGTCCATGACCCATATCTTTTAGGGTGCACCGGTAACACGTGGGGTGTCAACTGCAGTCGCACCTGCGATTGCGGAGACCGAGCCACGGAGTGCGACCCCGCCATCGGGTGTACCGGGTGCACAGCCGGCTGGACGGGGACCGAGTGCGACACAGATGTGGACGAGTGCGCGACAACTCCCGGAATATGCGGTGATCGGGGAGAGTGCGTGAACAACCTGGGATCTTATGACTGTGTGTGTCCCTCCGGGTATATGAAGAGTCAGACAGGCAGTTGTAACGGTGAGTGGACATTTATGTTGTCAGAAAAAAATCAAATAGAGGACTGGCGATTCTTTATATAAAAATCTCCCTACTAAAAGAGATGTTGATTGACCATTTTTTGACATCTTTTTCCATGCCTAACTGAATGCCTGTCGTAGCCATCTATTTAATGTTTTTAAAATCGTAGATACGTGTTTGGTTCTTGTCCTTTCGGGAAAAATAATCATTTATTGTTATTATTTACCTATGTGTGTGGTATTAACTTTTTATGTGTGTATCTATGAAGTAATTACAGCCCAAATTCCATAAATGACACACTTATGTAGCTTATTTATAATAAAACAGAAAAATGTTGTGTTATAAAACTACTACATTTATCTTTGAATATGGGCAATACCGTTACCTCTGTTCCGTTCTGCCAGGCAATTACTGTTTCCAACTGTGTCCAAGATCTATAAATAAATACATAAAAACATTATTAAACAAGGAAGTACATAACAGTTCAAATTAAAAATAATGACAAAAATATTTTCTGAAATGACAAGTGTCTGTAAATAAAACTTCTATAAGTCGTACATGTGCCGTCATACAGCCTTGCCGTTAAGTGGAAGCAAATAGTGTTACCTTTACACCAAGATAGATGAATGACTTTTGTAATGATTCTTTATTCTTTCATTTAGACATAGATGAGTGTTTGCTGGGTACGTATCAATGCCAGGCCACATGTGTCAACACTGCTGGAAGTTACAAGTGCGCTTGCAACGACGGCTATAGGTTGGTCGCCGACGGGTTCAGCTGTGAAGGCAAGTCATAATTTTTGTCTAACAATAGCATCAAAATATCGCAATTTTTTATCTTTAAAGAGTTCTTTAATGACGCTGACGTCACGTTTTTATTACTTTTAATATCCCGTAAGTTCCATACAAATGTTTTAGCTTATTTTTATTCTTTTCTACCTGCTTACTGGTAGTTAAATATTTGTCAGTTTAAGTTGGCATTTGGACATGGTGCTTCCATACCAAGTAAATCAGTTCAAATAAACGGATTGTCTTGGATCAAAACACACGTTAAAGATATGCTCTAATTTTATGATTGTCACTTGCCTTTAAACAATAGATAACATGAAAGGACGTGACAGTCTGAAACTATAATGTTGAAAATGATATTTTATTATTTTATACATTTTTTTCCAGATGTGGACGAATGTTCAGGCGGCACACACCTCTGTGAATACATCTGCGACAACAAGAACGGTTCTTATAGCTGCGCCTGTTATGATGGCTTCCAGTTGAATTTAGACGATGGGCATACGTGTGTTAAGAGTAAGAAACCATTTCCATACTATTCCCTATCTTACTAACTGTGGATCGATCTATCTCCGAGGGGACTCTCGCTAAATTGCAATTAACTTAAGCGGCCTAGATGTCTGGCACGCTAGGGGATAATTAATTATCGTTTATTAGCTTCAGTAGGCGTGCCAGACATCTAAGCCGCTTAAGCTGACAGCAATTTAGCGAGAAACCCCTCAGAAAAAATGGATCGATCCTGTTACATCGATCTAGGTATGGGAGGGCTAAGATAGCTAACAAATGTGTGTCGCTTCTGTTTCCACCAAGGCCTTATGCCACCCTATAAGAAAATTGGTTGTTATTTTTTTACTCTTTAAATGTATCATTATCTCAAACTGAATAGTTACATTTGCTCTTAACATGCTCTGGATTGATCCATCAACTTCCATATTCCATCATGTTTGCAACACTGCATGCCAAAGATCCTAACACCCGTCGATCGCATGTTACACTTAACAACTTCAGCGATGCTTTAATTTTCATCAAAATCAAAACTGGCTAATAAACAGTTGCAGAGGGAATCACTGTACTGAATCGCCGTCTACGATGTTTTCCTTATCATGTAGTCTTGGTTTACACCGCATTAATACAACGTTCTAAGTACTTAATAAATTATACCTATGGTGTATATATTTGCAGTACCTGATTATCCCGACAACTGTGCAGCAAATGGAGTCAACTGTACGTACGGCTGCGACGGCGTGGCCTGTATTTGTCCACTTGGATATACACTTGCTGCAGACGGCGTGAACTGCGACGGTGAGTTGCTTCGTGGTCAATTAACAGTCATCATTGCCCTACCTCTGTAGCTGTTGCGTGAATTATAAATGCTTTCGGTCGAGCGATTACATATTGCTGTAGTGATTTCATTTTGGCTTGATGTGCATAGAATACCCGTGCAATGCAGTTATTACAATTGGCAGAGAATCCGAGGGTGAATCTTACCACATTTTGACAAAATTATCAAATATACTTTTTATAACTGTCATAAATTCGAATACCCGGTAGAATACGATCTTTAACCTCACTAGGTTATGTCTGTATAGGTCAGTTTTCTCTTATTCTTGATTTAATGTTCTTACGTCACGATAACACAAGGTTTTAATCAAACTTACCTCCATTGTAGATGTTGACGAGTGTTCCAATGCAACGCTGAACAGGTGTGACCCGCCCACTGCATGTGTTAATAACAATGGTAGCTACACGTGTCAGTGTGCCACTGGGTACTCTCTGGATACCGCGGACAGTAGGACTTGTAGAGGTAAGCAAAAATAAAAGTACAATCAGCTACTTGTGCAGATTATCTGCCGTATTTGGTGCAAGATCTTGATGTCTCCTTTTTACAAGTAGGCTACTGATTTTTTCTTCCCAAAAGAAAGTTTGTAAACAACCCAAAACTTTACCCAGACTTGCACAAGGCGTTTTGGTGAGGCGCGTTGAGGCTAGTATTTTTTTCTGCATTGAACAAGTTGGCAGTGATCTTAAACTTATTCAGCCTGGAACGCTGATGGGTGTATACCTTAAAGTCCACGTATAATGATGAATACACATAGTCATCATACGCTTAGGCCTATAATTATCTCAAAGCACATGTTTCAGATATTGACGAATGTATGGACACTCCATGCGGTCCCCATTCTCTGTGCAATAACACCGACGGTGCTTATACCTGCAACTGTGACAACGGATACCGAAAGAATGGCTCACAGTGCGTCAACATTGATGAATGTGCACATGGGCCGTGTGGCGCCAATGCAGACTGCAGGGACACCTCCGGTAGTTACTCGTGCACATGCAAGACAGGCTTCCACGGAGACGGTATCATGTGTTCCAATGTGGACGAATGCACCATTAGTGACCCATGCAGTATCAACGCACAATGTACGGATTTGACTGGATCTTATATATGCTCGTGTAACGAAGGATTTTTCGGAGATGGTGTGGATTGCCGAGATGTCGACGAATGCGCGGCAAATTCCTTCAACTGCACTGCCCTAGAGACGTGCGTCAATACAGTTGGCTCGTACTACTGCGTGTGTTCATCAGGTTATAAACGGAACGTTACGTCAGGCAGATGCGAGGACATCGATGAGTGTAGTGTGACGTCCACGTGCAGCGTGCATGCGACTTGTAGCAACGGCCAAGGGACATTTACGTGTGCGTGCAACGACGGCTACGTTGGCGACGGTTTTACCTGTTTCGGCCTTATGCGTCGTGATAGTAAGAATGCCTTTTTTAAGCAATTTTCTGATATATTTCTGCACTTAAATTCAAAATCACGTCATTGTACAAAGTAAGACTGCATGTACAGTACTTGATTAATAAATTATAACCATGTCGATATATAAAAGTACTATTTCGAATTTTGTATGGGATAAAAAAGTGAAAAATATACTCATCATTACCAGTGACTGGTCGTCTAATAAATACGTTCGATATGATATTGGGTAGGCCTATATATAAAGCTCATTGCAAAAAAAAAATAAATAAATAAAAAAAAAAAAAAAAAATTTAAACTGCAGGATAATATATCAGACAATATACACGAAAAACGAACATAAACCTATAGTCTCTATTGGTATTTTCATTATCTTTCAGTACGGCTGAGATTGTTGGTACCTTATTTGACTGAATATGGAGACGTAAATTCCCAGCAGTACCGAAGTCTCATGAATGCGGTAAGTACATTTTCGTTGTCTTTAGAACATTAGGCCTACCTAATATATACACAAAGGCATACAAAGTAGGATGATATTAGTACCAAGCACAATTTGTAACAGTATCGTGTGAATAATCTTTTTTCTTGGTGATGAAAACGCATTACAAATACTTGTGTACAAACAATTTTACATATTTTTACTGTTCGTACATGCCATTTTAGTTACATGATGTGTGTGCACAATTTAGAGACCGCGTTTTTACCTTACCGTTTTTAAGTGTAATTCAGGTGCCGAAATCAAAAGATGCTTAACACTTATTTTGTAAGGCTTGTTGTTTTGAAGCATCTATTTGCTTTGACGGTCATGCTTTTCGTGTTACATTGTTGCACATAATAATGATAACTTGAAAAAAAATAACGCCAATCAACTATATAGATCTCTCTCTTTTATTTCAGATTTCCTCTCTTTACAGTGGACTGAGTGGTTTTTCGTCCGTCAAGATTATTGGGATAAGGTGATTACTAAATATTCAGATTTTGTTTTATTAAAAACCATTGAGATGGTAAAATAAATTAACGTGTTTTCTTTGTAACACTTAAATGAAGAAAAAAACCTGACACAGGGTATTATTTCTTACATTTAGTGGTTCTATCATTGTCGACCATCAAGTGGAAGTCCGTGGCAACATAACTGACGACACCATAGCAGAGTTTGTTACGCAACGCTTGATAAGTACTAACTACAGGCTGAACAGTAGTGACACGGTGTTTCCTGTCATCGGCGTGCCAGAGTTTCTCGACGGAAACGTAACAGGTAACGCAGCATTAACAGTGCTTAATAGTAAATGACCTCTGCCCATGCGATTTTTCCATATGTGTGTGTGGTGGTGGTGGTGGTGGGGGGGTATTTATAAAGCATTTTATTGTTCCCTTCACACGCTCCATCATAAGTCTCTTACTTTTCCTTCAGTCAACTCTCAGGTGAGTGCCACAGGCGGTACAAATCACCAGCTTGCAACTATACTGTACACCTTTAACCCCCCTTTACGACTGTGATGTAAATGGTGTTTGTTTTGGAAGTTTTGGAAAAGATACATGTATTTTAGAGACGCTAGCGTGGTCACATTTTACCAGTAACAACTTTAATACGGCCCTGTCCCTGTGTGTTTAACTGCGTGTCCAAACCTAGCTTGACAGTCCGTGCATTCCACTGTGCGGCACCTAATATGCGAATTTCATAATATTTTTGTGAGTTGTTCGATTCAGACCATATAGTTGTTCTTCTAGATCCTATATATAAGTGTGAAGTCACGCCATACAAGTGCCAAAACGGAGGGAGATGCGTGCAGGAAGGAAGAGGATACTGCAGGTAGGACACGTTAAACTGTTTTGTGGAAAACCGGATGATAAAATCTAAACTGACAAAATATATATATTTTGTATTTAATGGGAGCATCAGACTGGTGCGTTGGTTTCGGGAATTGTTTTATGAAATTGGAGAGACTCAGAATGTCTGTTTGGCCTTTTTAAAAAATATAGGCCTATAATTGCATTTTTCAACTTTCTTCGTGTTCAGAATATCTTTACAGTACGTATCTATTCAAAAAAATTTTTCTTGGAGAATGCCACTGATTTTAAGCGTAATCCATACGTTTTCCGTTTATACGCAAAGTTGCAACTGTATCCAAATTCTTTATTTTATGCATTGGTTAATTCAATTCTTTTTTTTTTTTTTTAATTAAAACTTATATCAACTTCATATACCTTTTGTATTTATAATGGCGGTTTAAAAAAGGGAAAAAACTATTAATTTTAATTTTTGAATAAAAACTAAAAAAATTACTTCAGCTGCCCAAGCGGTTGGCAGGGCGACCAGTGCGAGACGTCATCTGAGCTCGGCGCAGCAATGATAGCGGTGATTGTCATGGCAACGGTCCTGGGAGCTCTTCTAATAGGCATCATCGTGGTGTTGTGTTGTCGAATATGTAGGCGGCGCCAAAGGAGGAGTAGGCGGATGCCTAAAGAAGAGTAAGTATAGTATAAAGAGTAAGACAGTATATCTTCAGGCCATGCAAAATGAGTAAAATTTAGTGAAGTATTCTCACATGCTGTTTACAGTAGACTAAACACACAGTGGTATAAATATACCCAGTAGACCAACATATAGTTCATGAAACTTTAAGTTAAAATAACTACAGATTTTAGAGACGAAAGTCTGTATTTATAAAAGATATTATCGCTGTCTTGTAAATTTTCATATTACTTTAAATGATATATTTTAGTATTTCTCATTTGCCAATATTTCATCATTTAATTTCAGTATCACCAGACCTTCTTACGGCCCTGTCACCGGTTTCTTCCATCCTAAATACGGCCGTCCGTACTGGCGGTCAATGATGGACGGCCGGGCAGACACGTCAACCTCGGGAAGCACTTGGTCCAGTAGCGATACCGACGGGACGTCAACGTTACCCGTGCGTGAGGATAGGCTCCACAGGGGTTTTCTACCGGGTCTGTCGTACCACATGTGGGGGTCTCTGGTGGGCACAACCACCTCTGATGATAGACGTGAGTGACTTAAGCCTCTGCCAAACTTTTGAGTACATTAAGCCCTTGTGATTTCCTTGTGATTGACTTTTTCAGTTACGTAAAGTCAAAATTTCAAACGTTTGCTATTACTTAATAAAATTCAAAACTTGGTTCTTTAACTGTGATTCCTAATTAATTATAAATTTCTTTTCAAAAATCTGTCCAGATATATAATTCCAATTTAAGGCCGAGGCATTATTTGAAAATACAATAGCAGTTGCATGCTAACAAGTCTCTCGTGTGTTTTTCCACAGACACCGAGGACACTGAAGATCAGTCCACCGAAAACGTTGCTTGGGAAGTGGTCGTAGGGGACACTTTAGACCCCAACAGAGAGTTTAAGATTAAGAGGCCAATTGTTGAAGCGACCGCACGCAATGCAAATGAGGTATAGTTTTGTGTTTGGCTGAGATGTCCGCCCTCTCTGAAATAGACGAACTTAAAAGTGATTAGATTTTGGTGATGACCCACTGATTAATTAACTGTTAGTTTATTATTTGTCTTGGCGGAGGTCTGCGCTCTCTGAGTTCTTTTATAGTCATTATTATTATTATTATTATTATTATTATTATTATTATTAGCAGTAGTAGTATAAATGTTGATAATGATTAAATGATAATGATTTGCGGTCATATTGTTTTGTCGTCTTTCATTTAGAGTATGCAAGCTTATGAGCATTTTTTCAATTAAATTAATTTTTTTTGTCCTACAGCTTCGTCTTCAACCAGAAAGCTACACCTAAAGAAAAAGACAAAGCCACCAAGGGAGAACGCCAGTGGACACGGATGGTTTAGGAAGAGCTCGTTTTAATTTAGAATATCGTCCTGAGAATTGTATCAAACCCGAATTTTACCTCTGTCTACCATCGCCAAGCTATGACTTGTGCTGGGTAGCCAATACAAACCAAAGGGTACAAACTCGGCGTGCAAAACAAGTGCTTGCATGCTTACATTTTCTTCCAGTGGGCTGTAGACATAATACAAATGTATATACTGATACACCTTGTCCAGGATTTTTGATTATTGGAATAAAATAGGACTCATCGATCTCGGGGGCTTCATTCTCTGGTGTATTTAAGCGCACACTACTTGCACCATAGTTTATGAATATTTTAGTCACACTTAACTTTTGTACACCATTTTCATCAGATCCATCCGAAATAAGATATAATTATATATTCATTATTTATTTATAGATTTATTATCTTAAGTGTAGATCAAAGAGAGCACTGTAATCAAGCTATCAAAGCAAACATAAAGTTATGCATATAGAACATTGAGTGGTGCCATGTAATATTATTGCAATGCGTTAAATCAATGAAAACTTCAGACCAAACTTGCTGTAACTTATGCAGCAGCATGTGCTGAACTATATATGTGTATGTGCAATGTGATATGATTGCGAAAAATAAGCAATTCGCTACTTTACTGTTTTAAATTGTACATCCATTCACTGTCTTTTCCTTACAAAGCAAAGCTGTGATACGGGTTATGTTTCTTTACCCTTGTGCCATATAGCCTATGTAAGGATCAACAATGTTTATAAATATTTGTTGATTTTTGTTATATATATATATATATATATATATATATATATACTTGGTTTATGTAGAATGTTATCAATTTTATGAATACGTACAAGAATAAAACGCATTTCTTATATTGTGCTGTTTGGTTATATTTATATACAGGCAGGCCTATATATATTAAATAATTGAAGTAAAAATCCAAGACTTTGATTATATATAACGTAAATTAAAAACAAATGAACACAAGTCGTGAATAAAACATCTTTAATATGTTCGTCTTAAAAAAGGAGTAATGTGGCATTCTCAATAGGCTGTAACATTAAAAGTCGTGCTGAAATATTCTGGATGCGTTGTAGTCTTTTAATCTTGTCACCTGGACATCCGTACAGTAAAGAATTGCAGTAACCCAGCCTAGATGTGACTAATGAATGTGTAACAGAAGCAGCAGGTGATTGATTCAAATATTTCCCTATTTTCAGTATTTTCAATATTCCGAATGTTGAATAAACAGTGCGTAGTACTGTTGGAGATCTGTCCGTCCATTGATAGTGTAGAATCAAAATACACTCCTAATTTTTACATGGGGGGGGGGGGGGGGGGGGGGGCAATTGAGACACTATAGCTCGAGGTTATGCCCAAAGTCCTCGTTGCGGAGTTCAGTTATGGCTAAAAAATCCGTTTTTCCGGCATGACGTTTGCAGCGTTCAAACGTCACAGGCGAATTTTTCCAATCCGTGAACACCGCACTACAACGTACATGAATACTAAGCCGCGAATTGCAAGTAACCACCACGGGCCTTTATACATTACTTAAAATTTAATTATTATTATTATTATTTTATTTATTTTATTTTATTATTATTATTTTTTTTTTTTTTGCTTATGAGTATCCTTTATGTAAACTTAAGCAAGACTGAACAATATAACCACATAACTCAGGATATTCAATTTGTTTTCATTACAAAAAAATTATATACATGAAGTACAATACACATCTAGTCATTTCTGTGTACATGAATGAGTTACTGTATTTCCCAGAATAGAAGCATCCTAGTTACACCTGAAGACGTACATAATCAAAGAAACATTCGGGTCAGTTCACACTAGGTACACTGTGGCACGTCTTTCAATACCTGATATTGTTTTCATACAGTTCCTAAATTTACATTTTACTAGCAATGTACATGCCTCTGTGCTTTTTAACATAAAGTTTTATCCAAATAACATCCAGATGCCAAAATGAACAGTATCCACTCCGAATAATGTGCCTCGTCAAAGTGTATTCAATGCTGATATCAAAAAGAAAGAAAATAAAATGTAACCCATCGCTGGTTTTTCCACAGAACAGAAATCACCTGCTGGGCTTTGTTACAACAATGACAAACGTGTGACAACCCATGCTTATATTCTTTCTTTGGTGCCATAAATATTCTCTCTCCAAAGGAATTTAAAAAAAAAACTGTCAAATATGCTCCCATTAGAGATCACAGATATGCTGTCCATGTAACAGGAATTGGTGGATAAAAAAGTCATCAGTTTGTAAAAGAGTACTAATTATGTAGGAGCAGAGACCAGTCCAGCAGGGCCCTGTCCTAGAGTCTGCCCTCCCACTGTGCTCTCCAGGGGCTTGAAGCCCAGCTCCTCTGTTGGTATGCCAAACTGGTTTAACTTGGACTCGTATGTTCTTAACAGGTCGTTATGGGCCTGGAAAATAGAATTTAGTTTAAATGTAAACTATTTAAAACCTTAAATCTCATTTTCACGTATGGGAATGTGGATGACGGTTGGTTGAGAAAGTGACACTGCAGCTTAAATTTGTATATTAGTTCAATATAAAACTAATTTTTGTGTCAAGTCTTGCGCATGACTTATGCTGCTTAAGTATATTCAATTCAATTTATTTCTGTACTGGTACATAGATTGTCATGACCTTGTACAATATGATATACAAATGATGATACAATACAGTCAAGTCCCCTCCCTCCAACCAAAAAAAAAAAAAAAAGGCAAAGAACAAAAATATTGCACTCTCTCAGACTTTTATTCTTTAACATCCTCTAATGAATTAAATGTAAGTACATTTTGGTGTCTACTAAATGAAGATCATGAATTGGAAAGCTCACCTTGCACACTCTGGCCAGTTCATACTGCAGATCTTTGATAGCGCTGTTCTTGGAGTCCAACACATCCTAGAAAAAAATAATAATAACAATAAACATTTTGTTTAGACGGATACCATGACTTTTGTGCTTTAACAATAACTACATTACATAATATTAAACATGCCAAATTTAAAACTGTTTTCAAAAACACAGTGAATAATCCAGAGCAGATCTGCTGTGGTGCTTTTTAACAGGCACTGGTGACATCTATAGGCTTTGACGCACATCTAATTGGCACACACACACAAAATAATAATAATAATAATAATAATAATAATAATAATAATAATGACAATTATTATAATGATAATGAAACAAGAATAAAAAACTGGTGTTATATGAAACTGTTCATAATAGTTTATAAATAGGTATTTGTTAGACAGAAAGGCAAAGAGGAAGATAGTATTCTCCTCACTTTCAACTTCCTAGTGACCACATCCAGTTACTTAATACTAAGATAATGACAAAAATTAAATCTAATGCTGGATCTTATGTTAAAACAGAGATGACAACATTTCAACGTTATCACAAGGTCTTTTTCTGGTGACCTGATGTTGAGTTGTCATCATATGACACAGGTAACAACTCAACATCAGTTCACAGGTGACACCTATACAGGACTCAGGAAGTTAGACCCCATTTCCATAGATTTTAGATCGATCTATCCCTGCGGGGAGTCTCACTAGATTACTGTCAGCTTAGCCGGCTTAAGTGTCTGTCCCGACTACTGAAAGCTGTAAGGGGGTAATTAACAATGGTGCGCGCTCGGCTGACTGCAATTAACGTTGAACCCCCAGGGAGTTGGTCGATCTAAATCTTAATCCCTGGATCGATCTAAATCTCAGGGAATACACTCTTAGTCTCCTCTCCTCACCTCCAACTTCCTAGTGACCACTGTGAGGGCTGTGGGATCCAGGTTTGAGGCCGACAGCACCTCGTTCAGCTGTGCCTCCTTCTTCTCCAGGGTGTCAGCCAGTGCGCCAAGCTTCTTCTCCAGCAGGAGATTCTTAAAGTTGCTCTTCTGCTGGACCTCGTGGATTGCCTTCACAAACTTCCTGTACAACTCATCTCTTTCACCTTGCAGCTGTGGATAAAGAATTTAAAGCAAGTCAAAATAACATGCATTACCTAATCTGTTGAAATTTAAGGTACTTTCCTTCATTGTTTATCTGAGAATTTTTTATTAATGTTTTTTTTAAATCTATTCTTAAAAAAAGATATCCTAACACTTCCTATTTCTATTTTCCTTTAAATTTTATTTTCATTCTCATTTTCAAAGTGTAAATTATCTACTTATGTTTACATTTTCAGTGATCACAAAGTAAAGAAAGGGAAGTGTTTTTCTTTCTTAACATAAATATCCTTCATCTGATCACAATTTAAAATGCCAATTTGAATACCAATCTTCTACCCGAGGGTTATACCCCATCCATTACTTACCTTTCCAAACCTCTGCTCTAGCACTTCATGCTCCCACTGCAGAGACTTGTATTCTTCCTCCATAACCTTCAGCCTGGCCTTGGCATTCTGAAATAACATATGTGCATGATGATGATGATGATGATGATACACTGTATCATTATAACAATATGTCTCTATGTTTTATATTAGGAGCATCATTCAAAATTACTGCACTAAAATATAATTAAAAATAGCATTAACTAAGTTGAACTAATTATTCAGTTGTCTTGGCAACTGACTCAGCTTGTAATGTCAAGTTTGAAAGGCTTTCATTTTAGTCAACATGTGTCATTGTGTGACTGAATTTAAATGATTACATGAACATTCCTCTGCAGACTAGTAAGATAACAAACAGCTATCTCAGGAATGGAACTTACGTTTTAGAAAAAAAAGGGATTGGACTAATTATACAGCTGGTATACGACATGCACTGTCCTTAATCAACAAGCTGAAGATGAAAAGTTTTACCGGTAGGTCATGGCTGGCAGGGTTCAGAAAATGGGTATTGTTTTTTTTTTTCATCTTCTGAGTCTTTCAGCTGCCAGTCAGAATTTTACCCAAAGCCAGTTTTCAAATGGTTGATGTAAATCTTATAATGTAAGGAATACAGGCGACTAAGTGCTGTAGTTGACTACCAGCCAAAATGGTAAAAACTGCCAGGCCTGACCTGTGACCGAAGACCAGCTATATACTAGTACTTACTGCCAGTGACTGCTTATCCTTGTCATAGTTAGCCAGCTGTTTCCTCAGTTCCTCCACCTCCTCTCGGGCCTTCTGCAGAGGTTCTGTCAGCCTCTTGTTCTCTGCCATTACTTCTGCCATCTGCTTCTCCATCCTCTCTTCCTTCTTCTTCATCTCCTCTACTTGTTCCTAAAACATGGCAGCAGGGCATAAATGAGATTTAGACCTGGTGGTGAACCACTATCAATAATAACTGTGCAAAAACGAAAATCATGAACTGAACCTTTTGAATTTTTTTTTATTTGTTTGTTTGCTATGGCTAGATTTGTTTAAATTGGGATTTGAATCAGACATTCATCTGCAAAATTTACCATCAATCATGTGGTAATTTTAGGTAGCGTAATGGCACTTATGCCTGTAATGAAATGTATGGTGCACCTTTAATCACATCACAGAATGTCTAGAATCAGTCCTCATCCATGATATGAAAATGGTAGCATTCACAGGAGCAATTATAGTTTCATTTTTAAACACCTTACTGGTCATGAGAACAAAACTGAAATTATCTTTCAAAGTCTTATCCCAATGCACCATTATTTGGTTTTACACAAAATGTCTTTATCCTTAGTAACCAACAATTTTTTCAATATCATATCCCATTCATCGCTGTAATAAGCTATAATCTCCTGAAAAATTAATAATATAGAGAAATGTGTAAAATTAATATAGATATGATCCATACCTTGAGTGTGTTAATCAGTGCCAAATTGTTCAGTGTGATATCATTGTAATAATTCTTGATATCACTAAAAGCTTTTTCATGGTTCTTCATCAGTGTGTTTATCTGTCCATTTTTGCGTTCTTCAATTTCGTGAATTTCTGTTTTTCTCCTCAGGTCCAGCTCATCCCTCAAAGTCTTCATTTTCTTTTCGTATTTGGCTTCGATTTCCCTAGCTTGTCTCTCGAAGTCTTGTCTCAGGTTTGTTACAGACTCATCATGGTCCTTCAAAGTACAAAGAATACACATGCAAATTTATACAATATTAGATATGTGACAAAAAACCGATATTAAACTAGCTGCTTACAGTTAATCCAAGTCTAATAACTTTAAACACTCAAAAAGTTTGCATGATTCTATAAAGTTTTCATATAGTAACAAGTTTAACAATGCACTCAAAACCTCATCACAATGTCAACAACGTAACCATGCACATGCACTTCATGAAATGAAATTTAAGGGTACAAGCCTTACATCTCATGGAAATAAATGAAAAAAATTGAAAAAAAATTCAAACTGATTCAGATTAACATCATACCTTCTTCAAATTCTTAATGATATCCTCATGTGACAGCTCCTGTTCTTTCAGCTCCACCTTCAACCCTCTCTTGTCTTTACGGAGGTCCTTCTCACTGGCCCTGTTGTCATCTTGAGCAAGGCGTAGCTGGACAGCACTCTCAGCCTTCAGTTCAGATATGTTGTTCTGATGCTCATACAGCAAGTGTTTGACTTTCTGTTTGTAAACCTGTAGAGTCAAGTCAATATGGACAATGAAGACACTAGAATCCACAGCATTTACTAGTAAGTTGACTATGGAAAGAGCTGATTTTGTGTTGCAAATTACTTAATATGAAGTCCAATCTTAAAACATCTTTCAACTTCATACAGTTTCAAACACAATAAATAAATAAATAAATAAAATAAATAAATAATGACAGAACATATAAAATATTTAATTTTGTACTGATAAGGATAAAGCATTCACTTCAATTGATGAAACTGTTTCATTCTGATTCATTCTAAAATAAAATATGTATATCTTAGACAAACCATATCATAATATTAGCGAAACCAAAATGTTTTTAAAAATTGTCAATACATAAAGAAATACTAAAGCAGTTGCATCAAAGATATTCAGTGTCTGGCTAAATATCAATTTGCTAAAATAAGCCATGGGCACAAACAGTAATTACTGTTCAAAACCAATAATTTATAAAGATGCTAAAATGAAATAAATAAATAAATAAATAAATAAATAAATAAATAAATAAATAATTTACCTTGATTTCCAGTTGATGTCTCTCCTCAGCATCTTCCATCTCTCTGTCCTTATTCCTGAGTTCAGCCTTCTTCTCCTCCAGCTGTCGTTTGGTGATCTCCCAGAATGTGTTCACCTTGTCGCGTTCCAGCTGGAAATAGTTGCGTTCTTCCCTCTCTCTGTCCAATTCTTCCCTGAGACGCACAATATGCTCTTCCAGCTACGAGCAAATGTAAAAAAAAATGTATTTATTTATTTATTTTATTTATTTACTGTTTCAATAGATTATATTTTTTTGTTCTTGCTCTTCGGCTATACTGTATTGTATTATATTAAATTATATTATATTATATTATATTATATTATATTATATTATATTATATTATATTATATTGATAAAACATGTCCTAAATATATATGCAGTTCATAGAGGCTAAATGCACACATACAACTACATGTATGAGTTCATTTTACCTTACTGTTTAATTCACCATGCAATATTTAGTTGTTACACATATGACAGCTGAGCACTGATTTTGCTAAAACTTTTAGCAATTGAAAATACCAAATTATATTATTCTTATGGCTTGGGCATCACAAACAATCACTCAAATCCTAGCAACTAAGAAGATCATTTAATTAATTAAAGCTTTTGAATTGGAGCAAATACGAGTCCACATCCTTGACCAGACAATGCTTAAAGTGATAATAACTCTTCGTTTCGGCCAAAAAATGAATTTTCCTGGAGTAAACAACAATTTTCCCATGCTTACCAATGGTTAATGAATTCATTTTTACATTCAAAGTTAGTGCCTGGTTTTTTTCTAAAATGTTTGGTTTTTTGTTAAAATCTCTTAAGAGATTTTAACAGAGTATAGCCATCAATGGAGGTCACGTGGTCTAAAGACAAGCTCAGATATCAGAATAATAGCTATAACTGCCGATTTTGTGGTAAAACAGAATATATTTTATTTCCATGAGTTATTCACAATGTTTTTATTGTGAAATATAGATCTCATACGAAGAGTTATTATCCCTTTAAACTATGCAAAATCAATATTAAAATACCTGCTCTTTGCTCATCTCTTCTGTAGAGATCCCATCGATAACTGTCGGAGTCTTGGCCTTCGCCGACTTCTTCTTCTTACCACTCTTCTTCTTTTTAGGCGGCTGAAAATATCCAACATTTTGTTTGATTGAATTCAGTCTTTAAGATATATACATTGGAATAATTTGTATTTGAACCCACTAACAACATTCCTATGAAAGTCTTCCTCTGAGGTTTTCAAAAGTATTTATCTGAGACTATAAATGGGGTGGCTATCAGGCAAGTAATCCGAACTTGGTTTCCACAAAGTTTAAACTAAGATCTAAAATGGTATATTAGATCTTAGGTTTAAAGTAGACAAAAAATTCAGCGATTTATGTCAAAACTCCTTTATTTTTAATTAAATCCATAAAACATATTCGTGCGATAACTACTTATGCACATTCAAAACCAAACCTCATAGTTGCACTTACCATTTTCAATGATTTCTCAACAAATCTTTCACACGACTAAAAATTGCATCCAAGCACTGATCAAGATGGCGATGTTTTGTTACCATGGCGCCAGTGCCCTTGTTTTCAAAGCGAGGCTCCTAGGGGATTCCCCTTGCCTAACGAACAACGCCATTTGTACTCGAAACTGTGGGTTTTCCCGTCGTCATACATTTTTATACAACTACACTTCAAAGTGAAAGAAGGAAGGGATTCCAAATGTGAGTATGAACTTCTTTAAATTTTTCTTAACATTATGAGTCAACAAAATCATCGTGTGTAGTATAACTACAAAACAATCCTCAGCTAAAATACCTTACTGCATGTGACTAGAAGTACATGTCATTACTTATTTCTCGATTTTTACTCCAGCTGTGGAGCAGTTTTTCCGTTATCTGTTGTAAAGTTGGCTCTTTTCCAACAATAACTCTGTTTGATATTAATTTGTTCTTCAAATGTAAACATATATGTAACAATTTAAATTTCACGACGAAGTTGACTGTGCCATGCTAAATGCACCTTTCTCCATGGGCTAGGCGGATCTTTTATTTAGTGACCTATTTAATCAGACATTTTACTCAGCGAGCGTTCGTTACTGACGTAATTCATGTTTATAACCTCCTACGATTTCCTAAAATATAAGCTATGTATATGTACATGTATATGTAAGGTTCATATAACGTAAATATCTTTAATCCCTGCTACAATTACATGTACATGTACTGGTAGAAATACAGTTTTAATTATCAGGACTATCTTCAGGTACATGTACTGAAATATTTAGCATCTGACGCCAAGTGATTCATTTCAGGAAATTCCAATGCATCATTTTGCCAGTGTAATACCTGTACTAGTTACCTTTTAAGTCTATAAAATATTCAAGCAACATTTATGTCGTTTACATGTTACATACTGTAGTAAGTACTGTATATTTGTAAATGAGTAAAAATACAGGTACATTGAACATGTATACCACTCCAATAGACTCCCCAGTTTCATTTGTCCAAAATTTCAAATAACAGCTGAAAGAAACCATTATCCATTATTTTTTCTCTTTCTTTTTGTTTTTAGTCTGTTTTTCTTATCAAAATATTTATTTACACTTTACCGCCCCATTGACATTTACTGTGCTTATGTACATGTAGCAGGTTTATTTATTTTGTCATGTTGGAATTTCCCAACAGAACAAGCTGAATTGCATGGATAGTGGAAGTGGAAGGTCATGTTCATAACAAGAACCATTGGTCTTTGAGGCCCACATGGTGTGTATATCCGGCAATGGGAAATTTTGTTGAAGCTAACTATAAACATGATACTTACCACGTAAACTTTCAAATGACGCAGGCTTTCTCTTTTCTCTCAGATGGTCATGCGGAGCGTACAATATCAGCAATAGGGCCTTGAGTATGGTGATGTTTTCTGCACAAGTATTTGTACCTTGGATTCTCTTTACTGTCAAAATAGAACTTCTCAAGTATGTCTGCCAGAGAGGACCTCCAGAAGTCACTGCAGGAGGAACTGGTGGACAGGTCACAAGAGGAAAAGCTGCAGAATTATCCACGAATGAAAGAGATGACACGTTATTTCCTCCATAGAGCACAGCATGATTTTAAATTTATCCACCACTGCGTGAAGCTGTTACTGGAGGCATACATTCACACGCAAGGAGAAGAGGACTGCAAAAGCGGATCACATGCTTTTTTTGCTTTTCATGTGTTTTTCCTAAATTTGTATGATTTTCCATACAAAAAGGAACATAAAACAATTAAGGTACTTCATATACTTAAAGTGAAAGGTTTGATACTGGTTTGTGCATGCCAGTAGGCAGGGTTGGGGGGTTGATAATCACTGCAGTTTTGGTCAGAAAATGTCAACTCTGGCTAAAATGTGATCTAGGTTCAATCCTTTTTTTAAGTTGGGTCACCTGAAGGGATGGGCACACATGACATTTTTCGTAAGACCCACCTCCTTTGAAATTGCTGCCTAGAGGCCTGTTCCTGTATGTGTCACTACTAGTATTTACAATTACAGAAATGAAGAGAAAATTTGATAAGGAACGAATGTTGATATTGTATACCCCTTCATTTTTGACCCTCCTCACAAACGTTACACTTAATTGAAAATATTTATAGACTTAATAGATTACATGTTACATCCACCCCCAGGGGTAGATCTAGAAATAATTTCTGACAAGTTACTAGTATATTTGTTGATCCATCCCCCATTTTTGTCCATCTTCCAACAGAAAAAATTAGATGCCCCTAGTATATACTTGAAAATCTGACCATCTTCTGGAAGACCACGAAGACGGCCTCAATTATCCCATGACCCCACCCTGTCCCCCAACAATTCACAAACCATATTACTGCATGCACCATTACCTAGGAAATAGATATCCAGAAGACAGGGAGACAGTTTCACAAACTTCCTTAGCAAATGTCCATAACAAAGTAAGATCCCAGCAGCAGTCTTTATTAGTGATAGTGACTGCCATGGCTAACTGGATACATTCATTAGCACTCAGTGGACCAGATTTAAGTTTGGAAGAGATATCTTGTTTTTTATGACTTTGGTGTGCACATAAGCAGACATAAATACCCTGTGTGTTGCAGTTGCCCATTTCACAAAATAGCCTTAGCCTCCAATAACTGGTCAATATTTGTAGTCTAAGACTAAACATTTAGACCCCACTCCCAGAGATTAGATCGATCCAAACTAGATCGACCTAACTCCCTGGGGGTTCACGCTAAATAGCTGTCAGTCAAGCGGGCATGAAAGTTAATTACCCCCTTACAACTTGTAGTAGGCGAGACGGACATTTAAGCCGGATTATCTTACAGTAATCTAGTTAGTCTCCCCACGGGGATAGATTGATCTAAAACTATGGGAATATGCCCTTAGTCTACTACAATTGAAGATAAGCCCAGTGTAGGTTGCTAAAATAAAGTAAGTATTGGTGGTCTCAAACATTAGCCCTGTCCTTTTTTTTTTTTTTTTTTTTTTTTTTTTTTTTAATAAAACAGATGTAATATATATATTTAATTTTAGTTGGGCTATTACTGATTTATCATAGGTTTAAGTAGGCTGGAAATATGGTCTAAAAATATAAGCCAATTCTCAGGCTATTATTGGGAATCAGGATCAAGGTCTAGTTAATTTTGGTACTAAATACAGAATAGTCACATATTTTCAAAGATGCAGCCCTGTAGGGGAGGGGGGGGGACTGGCTAACAAACTTCCCCCTGTGCCAGACTATTTCCACTCAGAATTGAAATTTACTCCAGGTTCTATGCCATCCTAAAAGTTGGGTGAACTCAGGGGGTAAAAAGTTCCCTTTTTTCTGAAAAAGTTTCTTCTTTTGAAATTGTTAGCTACTGGCATCAGGCCCGTAGCCAGCAATTTCAAAAGGGGGGTTCTTTTCTGATAAAGTGGACCTTTTACCATGAAACCTTCATGGGCCTAGATAAAATTTTACCCAGAGGGGACCTTTTCCCAGCAAAAGGGGGGGTTCTTTTGAACCCCCCCAACCCCCCCTGGCTATGGGCCTGGGCATGAATATGAGGAATGAGGATAGAAAAGAAACACAAAAACATTATTTAGAGTGTTGTTATTTAAGTATTCCCTTTTTTATTACAATTTCACTAAATATGATATAGTTGAATTTGTATAATGCTGTTTCTTGTCCCATGAACTTGTGTCTCTGCAAATTCTGCATTTTCTTCCTTTGAAGTGCACATTTGGAATTTTTTTCCATTGTGTGTTTATATGGTACAATATCATTTGTTGTAACTTGTAAACAAATTAGCTTTAATAATTTACATCTCAGTAATTTTTAATTTCATATCTCAGATACATTATGCAACTGGTAAAAAAATTGAATTTCAGTTTTTTGTTTGTTTTGTCATCTTCATTTTGAATATAATTTATGGGACTTAAAATTTTATCCAATACCATAAATGACATTTTAATGAAAAGTTTTTTTTTTTATTTTTCAGAGATACAATGGTTTTTTTCAAGCGAAAATTATGAACGAGCTCAAGGAAGCCGAGAGACTACTTGAACTCCTAGGCTACAAGTCAACCAACACTTATTGCTGGGTGCTTCAAGGCAAACTGAACAGAAAAATTTTAGCGGAGCTTGCTTGTGACTGTTATATTGCACATGTTGAGTGTTTGATAATTCAGAATATTTATGAAAACGTACGCGGAATGAATTATTCTGTAATACATGTATGGCAATGTCGGACTGAATTTGAAGGTAGCGAGGAAGAATGTATTGAATGGATTAGGTTAAATGTTAACAGACCAAAAAACAAAACGATTGCTCATGTTGCATCTGGGCATTCGAAACCTGCTGTAGCCACTGAGAGTGTTGGTGACAACTTGATGAATACCAGGTTTGTAGTCGGACTGACGCAGTCACAGTCACAGAAAAAGCATATGGTGGATTCAGCATATATGAGCAAAAGTCATAGGTCATTTCCCGGCGGTATCAGCACCGTCCCTTTAGATACAGAAATTCCAGACGACGCCATCTATGCCACAGATGGAGGGCGTCATGATAGTGGGAATGAAAGTGAGCACGATATGTACTCAGAGGCCACCCAGGATGAATTCATTCAACAAAGCCTACAGCTTTTGAAAGAAGACAGACCATCTAGCACCGGTGCTTTAGCAGAATTTTCGTCTCCTGCCGAGGGCGGGGAGTGGGACTTTGTGTACAACAAGCTGAGGGACACAGAGGGAGATCAGTACTTTGAAGGAGAGAGAGGGGACATCCTGAAAAAGATTAATGTTGGGGTTCAACAGCAGCAAAAATCTACCAGACCAGAGCTCAACGATAAAGACAGACTTCATCTTGGGGCGACGAGGTACAGCGAAGCAGCCAGAAGACCAACAGCTTTACCAAGGTCTAGAGCCCTTGTTACCTGTGGCGAGCAGGCACACCGTTCCTTCGCTAACACATTTAGCAAACCACCAAACACAGTGTCTGTCGACGGACCAGCCAGCCCTACTTCGCCTTCTGGGGTGAAACATTTACCTGGTACAGCAGAGGTTGCTTATCCCCCATCATACTATAAAGAACCTGCTTGTAGGGACGGACACCTGGATGCACGGGAAAAGCCAGATGGCATCTCTGTGCAGAACCTTCACCAAGATGACATAGGCGGGAAGTTTGGTTTTTCTGGTTCCTCCCAGCCGCAGTATTTTAAACAAGCTGACACGATATCCGCTACGGATAGAGTCGCACCATTGCGTGTATCCTTGCCTTACCAGGTAGGTCCATCCAATCAAGTTTCACCATCAAGAGTCCAAGTCGTGAAACCGCTTGCTCCCCGAGAACCCAAATCGCTTAACAGTCCCTTGGTGAATAAGGGAAACGTGGACGTGCAGATGTGGAAATGTGAAGCGTGTACCTACGTCAATCTGTCGGATTCTCCCATTTGCGAAATGTGTGACAGAAGCCGAACGCCTAAGGTGAAAACCATGACGATAGGAGGACCAGATTGCCCCCAGTGCACTCTGGTCAACGAACCGGGATCGCTTAGTTGTGCTGCTTGTGGTTACGGACTTGCTGGAGCGCCGACGTACATTTAGATGTCTTCATCACTCAACACTTATTCCTAGCAAGGATACCAGATGGCATATAGAACTACCGGGATGATTAGATTATGATATTTTATTTGGATCGACGCGTTTAAACATGCTTATCTCCATTTTCTACACTTACTGGTATGTTATCTTTGAGAACTGTTCAAAGTGACGGGTTATATTTCACGACTTTATCATAAGCTATTTATCCGGCGTAATCATGGTATACATGTAAAAGCTTTATGTATGGTTTCTTATGGCAACCATTCCAAAATCACCGCCTCCCTCACCGCCTCACAAATGGATTGTTCGTTTGCTAGTAATAGTGTTTAAAACAATATTATAATTAGAAAATATTCGTGATGAAAGAACATCTTTACAAAATATTACGTATAAGGATTATTAATGAACACAGCAATACGTGCTCAACTACGGAACCCATATGCTGTGAAGAATGCCGACCGTCTGTGCTAGACCAAAACAGTCTGGGAATGAATAATGGACATCGTTAACGATCCAAGGCAATGAACTGTACATGTATGGTCATTTTCGTATTCGGACCGAAACAAACTCAATAAATTAAGTTAGGTTTCTAATTTTGTTTTAATAGTTGATGATTTAATGACACAGTTAAATTTGAATAGCGTGTTGTCGCTTTGTCAATTTTATTTGTTAAATGGAGAAAATAGCTTTTTTAAAAGAAAGGAGGATGAAATTGGGAATAATCACTGTTGTGCATTAATACTAGTAACTTGCTTTCTACAATATACTTTGATTACTTACTTTTATATTAGTTGCAATCAGAATTAGAAGCTTGGGAAATTTAGTAAATTTCATTAACAGTTACAACGTATATCATATTACGTTTTTACTACCAAAGGCAATATACACCACGAGGAAAATAAGATGAATACCCGGTAAATGCTTTTCATTATAACCGTGACACGAACGAAACTACCGCCTTGCCTTTATAATGATGTCACGCGGTAGAATGAATGAAAAATAGTGTGTTATAGTTCTCTTACGGCTTTATTTCTTGAAGATTCAGAAAACACTTGTACACAGGCGTTGGCGTAGAGGCGCTGACGTTGGCTTAACACGTGTCTCAAACGTCTCGTGTCTTTTTAAGTGTTTCGCTCTCCACAGCGGTTTTATAGCTGTATTTATACTGTGGGATACATAAATCTAATAATACAGTCAAAAATGTCATAAATCAGTCATAAATTTAATAATACAGTCAAATCTATCGGTATTAAAGTATGCATATGTGCCGACCAACAAGTAAACAGCTATTTCATCAAATACTGGATATTAAACATTGGCTCTTATTAGAAAAGCTAAGTACATGGCTAAGTGATAACTATATAAACCAGAAACCTGTGTAATAAGTAATGAAGGCTTAAAGATAATAAATATATGAGCTGACCAATAAGCTAAGAGACTGATGTGTCACTGGGAGACAGCTAAAGTGAATATATACACTGAAGATAACTGTTGTTACACTTGGTATGTAATCCTGAATGAGTAATTTATAATAAAGGCTACTTTAAGTAATACGGAACGGAGGAGTAACTAGCAAGCCTTTACAGGTACTCTTTAGAGTTGACTAAGTACTTTAGCACTAAGAGTGACTAGTAAACTGACAACTACATGTATATTCTTACTTATAACACTGCGCGATAGCGATACCCTTTAAAACATTGTACTTGGTTTACATTAACACTTTATCTTAACACTTTATCTAAGTCACGTGATCGATCCTGTAATGTGGGAAAATACTAAACACGGTAGTCTAAACTGGTTTTAGCCTTGCAACCAAACACCGACAACGGTAGAAAAACATTGCTCCAACTATAAGGAAATTAAAAAGACTCCAATGCCAAATGACACTTCATTGTACGTAAAGAACCAACAAATTGCATTCAGTTTAGATTACTTGTTCAAGAGCAAATAACCACATATATTTTGGTGTCCTGCCCCGCCCCCAAATACTCCTCCATCAGTAAACATAGGACGCAGTCGTGGTACAGTTTTTGGTGACAATACCGGTATTTGGACTTGGACGCCGTGCTACTCTGCACGAGCAAAAATACGGGTACATGTGTATCATCACGGTGTTTCAACTGGGTGCATTGAAAGTGGGTATAGAGGAATCGTGCAAACTAGCTAACATTACTGTAAAGTTAAAAATATCATAAGCGGGAGTTTTGTGACAAAGCAAATTTTACTTGAAAAAAGGGAAATGTTCGTCCGTTCACAATCATTGCTCGTGCTTAACCTGTCCCTGTTAGTTTTGATATTTTGTACTATTTTATTTTGGTTCGATCTGTACAGTCGTATAAAGGACCTTCAATGGTCAGAATTGGAAATTAACCCCTTTGTCTCTTATTCACGTGGGAAAATGCCACTTAAAGTCAAGTTGTGCGCCTTCTAAATACACATCCTTGTTGATATCGATTTAAAGGCACTGCCGCACCTTGCGTATAGCACTACGTATGAGAAAAATTACCCATACTCAGACAAATACAGGGGTTCGTAAGCGTTATGTCAGTCGTATGCGGGGGCAATACGTTCGCACACATGTTTTGAGCATGTTCATAAACTATTCCACACGCTGCTTGTATCTTCATTTTAATCCACTCGAATCAAAGTTGTGCGTGTTATCAATATCACAACTGATACTCAAACTTACGTCTTTACATCAGGTGTGAAAGAGCCTTAAGCAGTTTGGAGTAATATAACATCCGGGACCGGTGACTATAGTGACGTTTGCTATGGAAAACTAGGTACTTCCCGTCTACCAAGTAAAGTGGGCGATTGTATTGTTGTGAGAGCTTTCATTTGTGTGACATATTTGAGGCCAAATTGTTTTATTTATTTATTTATTTATTTATTTATTTATTTATTTATTTATTTATTTAAACTGTGAATCTACACGTACACTTGCTAGAAATGAAGGAATATTTTGGAAATTAGAGATACAATTATTATTTCAAATAAAGCTCCCTGTCATTATGCACTTAATAACATAATATTCCAGTACAATAATACCAATCATACTATAGACTTTTTAAAATTCATCAGACAGTTTTTCATAAGACAGCATTAAGTAATGTGATAAATCATTAATAAAAATTCCATGTGTGTCCTGGTGTCAGTTGCTAAGATCTGGACGCGGGTGAAGGGAAAGCAGAAGAAAGGGTTGGGAGAGAGGATATAGTTAAGGTTGAAGTGTTCAACGTGGACGGAAAAGATCGTGATGCGTTAATTTGAGGACGTAAAGGATTAAACAAATATATATGACGGAGGCCTGAGCTGCGCTCCTTGGTTGCGTGCTTTGAAAATCAAGTCCATGCTTTGTTGTTGAAATGTCGCCCACTGTTGCTCAGACAGGGTATCATCTTCAGTAGCCAAGCACTGACAGAATGCTTTTCTCTACTTCTGTGGTGTGACCTAGACTTTCTAGAGCACGACGGAAGCCAAAGCGTTTGACACATCGGCGCTTTTAGTTTTGAGTAGTCTTTACCATTTGAAATGTCTACTGTGGACTTGCACCGGGTACTGGTTGACCACATTAACAGCATTGATGAGCAGAGGCCCAACAGGGGGGTGAGGCATAAAAAACTAATATATGTAATTGGGTAAAGCAATATCTACGACGTGACTTTTGAAAAATTAAAACTTTCCTTGTCGATTATCCCACAGAGTTGGTAATACTTTTTATGAAAGGGCAATATATGATATGCATGGGGTCCCATGTATATGGGACGAATGTCACCTGTACTAGGAATGGGGAACTGACTTTGGTTCCTAGCGGACATCCATTCCTTTCACACCAGCATGTTGCCATGGATGTCATACTACCTTTCAGCCAAATTATTATCTTATTTAGCTACTAGTGAATTGAAAACCGATTACTTTCTCACATACATTCACCAAGCAGCAAAATTTAGGGTTAATACTTGGTCACCTTACCATGGCCAGTATGTGATGAAATGCGTAGTATGGCGAATAAAATACCCCAACAGAGAGTCTTTTACTCATGATTTTATTGCACAAATATTGAGATAAGTATACTTTATATAAAAGAAATGGGAGATAAAGCTCTTTTCCCAAATGTAAGCCTTTAATTATAACGTATATTGCACCCACTCTCACGCATAGCAGAAGGTATGCGTATCGTATGTCAAATTGATAAAATGCACACTTGAGTGTATGAAATCACCCTTTTTCCCAAAGTATTGGATTGATATCTGGAACATTCGTCATTTTATTAATTAACTGCACAAATTATATGTAGCCAATATTCTAATGAAATCAATTCCGAATCAGTGATTCCGAATGACAACGATGTGTGGATAGGGTGACGTCGAGTCCTGGTTGCCAAGGGAGCGTGATGAAACCGTACACAAACAACATGCGGTGTACATTTCACTTTTAACATTTCAGTTAATTTCATAAAAAAAGAAAAAAAAAACTTGATTGCAATATGTAAATTCTGCAAAATCCTGCCAATAATCCCTAAAGCTAGGGTACATTTGCCACACGACATGTACGGTGTATGTATACTGACAGTATGTTCCTTTTTCTGCGCTGTTCGTCCGGAGACAGGCTGTGATAACGAGGGATGGAACGAAATTGTTCGGATTCACGGCTTCTTCGTCTCTACCTATTTTTTTTTCAAACTGAAACTTTTGAGAAAATTTGTTACGTCATACGCATGTAAGCCCGTAATCCGTACGTAGTAATATTATAGATGACATGCTAAAGTTTCTTTGCGGGTATTGTTCGGTAAAATTAATTGTGGTGATCGTGAACCTGTTGTACATGTGGTTGTTTAAATTAGTGAACATTCTCTAACATATTTTTCATGTATGCAGGCTGTGTAGCATTCCAGTATATTACACTCAATCCGTCTCTTTCTAATTTAGCCTAGTATCAAATGTACATTTTGTAACAACCTTTGAGATTCAATCAATTAAGTCTTTAGACAACGTCTACGAGCACGTGACGCCGACGTCCTCCCCGTGACCACAGTTGTGTGACAGCCAGCCGTTATGTGTGCACACCGCAATCTCCATCTCGTCGCCTTGGCATTCCACGTTGTCCAGCATTATACTCCCCGTGCCCTGACCGAAATGCGCAGACTGGTGCTGCATGGCGTTGCTGAAGGGCAGCCCCAACGACCGGCAGACCACTTGGGCGTCTACGTCCGCGAACGCGTCGTCGCAGACAGTGCCCCACTCGCCGTTGTAGAAGACCTCTACTCGGCCTTCGTTCGAGTTACTGCCTCCTGCGAGACGGTACTGCTGTTGGAGAGCTGGAAAAGGAACATGTATAATTGGTAAAAAGAATATCTCATATTTGCAGGTGCGTAACATGCGTGTCATACCAATCATATAATATACATATTAGGCCTATATGCAATAACGTGTTTTCAATCGCAAATGAACATTACATTAAAAAATTCCAAATCTTAACTGGTATGTTCGAATTCAAGCCAAGATTCGGGTTTTACTTAACGCACGTGATACTTAGCGTATATTCACAGCATCACGCACTGTTTATTCCAAGTAGTATCTAAATGACTAAAACGATTGCTCAAACATATCGACATACCAATTTCACACTGGGTAGACCCTGGCTCCGTGGCCTGGTATCCGGATTGGCACGCCTGACAGCTGACAGATCCCGTCACATTACTGAACGTATCAACGGGGCACAGTGTACACTCCGCACTGCCACTATGGGGCTGGAAAGTGCCCTCTGGACACGCCATGCAAGACCCCTGTCCAGTTGTGTTCTGGAAATACCCGGCCGGGCATATGGTGCAGTTCTGTTGACCGCCTCGGCTGTAGTAACCAACCGGACATATGTCGCAGTCGGTCATCCCTGCGGAGAACTGGACGTAGCCCGCCGGACATGTCGTGCAGTTCATTTGGCGCGTGCTGGTCACGCACCAGTCACATGACACGTCATGTGCCGAGTCGGCGTTGTACCAGCCAGGAGGGCAAATGCCTGGAAGGGAGACAGACTTCAATACTACTTCAGACATATTCAAAAGTTGTTCGGCATCTTATCTACTTTAAGGTTACTGTAGATAGAAACGAGAATTTTACAAAACAATATATAAATAACCTTTGCATTTCGTGAATGTGCGGTATTTAAACAAGCAGCAGCAAATGACTGAAAAGGTATAGAAGCAAGCAACAAGTGACATCAGAAGTACCTAAGCATCCCCCCCCCCTACACACACACACGCTCACACAGAACAAAAATGAAAAAAAGAAATAGGCAGATAATTTAATAATGCTCAGAGTCTGTATACAGCTCACCTGGAATTGTGCACGAAGTCGTGGATTGACCATCACTTGCCTAAGAATAAAATAAGCAAATATGGCACAGTTCTAATTGTTTAATCTAAATCCAAATATGATCAGCTCTTTATTATTTTTATCATTTATTATTATTGTTGTTGTGGTTGCTGCTGCGGTTGCTGTTATTTTTATTATTATCCTTGTCAACATAACCATCATTTCAATCTTCAATTCATTTCAAGCTGTTTTCATTTTTCCTATACCCATCATCTTCATGTAACTTCGTTTCAGTTTCTCAAAAAGAAAAAAAAATTAAAGAATATTTGTAAACATTTCTATTGGCTCATAAAAATATTTGACTCCTTCAAAATATAGGCTATATCTGTGAATGCAGAGGTGTGTATCTTCTGGATAAGCTATCCAGAGGATAGAGGTCATTTTTAACCGCTGAATTGCGCTATCCAGCCCTGATGAAAACGGGATCCGGTTTGCAAACTACAAATGCAACTTGAGCCACGTATCTATCTAAACACGTCGCATTGGACTACAATTTTTCATGTAATATGAATAGAACATCTCTGGTCTCTAATAAGAGTACTGTGTAAATTCGAAGGCCAACCATTAATAGTTCTCTGGGCTGGTTTAAGTACGTCAAGGCTACATTAGTATTTATACATGAGAGTGTGATCAATCTGAGCTATTGAAACACATAAATCAAGACACAATCGCTATTTCGATTTTTCGATTTTCCGTAAATCTATTATTTGCCAATTCAGTACGGTACGCAGTCGATTACGGTTCAGTGAATAATTACCTGATTCCTACCGGAAAACTGTTGGTATATTGATAAAGTGGCTGGAAATTGCATAACATGCTTTCTTTGACTTGGTCATGTTGAGTTTTTCACAGATGATTAAATATATTTTGCTGATGGGCACAGAGGGAGGCATTTTGTTTTCCACCTGTCAACAATCGAGGCTAATTTTAATCAATCCCTTGCAATACATGCAACAGCGTACTGTCGCCCCACTTAGACGCCGACTAAATCGTCTTGTAAAAAAAATAGATCCCATTTAATGCATAGATGTATTGTACTAATTTTCAAATCCGGTATTATACATTTGCTATAATCGGCCATAACGAGATGTGTCTTTCAACTCACCATTATAGACTGCCCACCGTATACTGGTATTTGCTTATATCATTTTAATAAATGTAAATATGTGAATAATGGGGTTGTAGTATTGTTTTTATTTTTTGAAATTTGAAATAGATATTTGAACCTGTATACAATTTACAGATTGAAAATTTGTATTAAATAGCAAGTTACGTACGGCAACAGAAGCAGCAATGATTTGGAAGAAGACATGTACCAGTGCCAATGATTTGGAAGACAGGTATGTACCAGTACCAATGATTTGGAAGACATGTATGTACCAGTACCAATGATTTGGAAGACAGGCATGTACCAGTACCAGTGATTTGGAAGACAGGTATGTACCAGTACCAATGGAGTCGGATTTTTTTAGATATTAATTGGTATGTACCTGCTTGTGTCAAGGCTTGATTCTGTTTTCATAAAATTTAAGGAACAGTTTTCTAACTCAGCAACGTTTTTTTTTTTTTTTTTTTCAGAAAAAACTTTCACTAGTTCATTTAAAGTAAAACAAAAATATGGTGACAAAGTTATGGTGTTAGCAAATGTTACGCATAACCACAGTAAAGGAGACGCCACAGACAGACGCAGACTATCAGAATACATAATGTACCAGTATATAATGATCCATGCACTGCTTCTGTATATAAAATGTTTGTCAAGTGGGGTGGTTGATGGGTTTTCACTGAGCGGTATAGTTCAGTAAATTAATGAATAAAATTAATAATAAATAAAATAAAAATAACGAGTGAACAACAGTATGTTGACTTAGTGATCGGAGGGTCACACCGGGGTCTCCGTGACCGCCCTTAATAGACAGTCAAATTTATCGAAAAGGCATTCCGCTAAATGACTACATGCTGTTTCAGAAGGTCCGTCTGACAGCAAAATAAAATGCTTTTTGAAAAGCTGTTTATAAAACAGGTGGAAATGTAATAATGATTTATTTTCAACTGTTATTGCTATCACGTTGTGTTGTTAGGTGGTCATTCCAGAATATTTGGAACAAATTATCACAGGATTTTTCTGCTGTCAGCTGATAGCCAACATAAAACTTTCATACATGTACAACTCTGTAACTTCTATTACTACTGTTATTCTTATTTGAGTTAAATTTGTGATGACCAAGAATCAACCAGAAGTTCTGGCATTTTTCCCGTGTTCTTATTAAATATAAAAACAACAACAGTTTATTCAAGTTACAAGTATTACACAGATCCAAACGCAGTCTTGCGAAAATGTATATCTCACTTGGAATTATTATGCAACTCACCATTTCGAAGTGAGAGTACGTCCCAATCAACTGCTGTTCCACCCAAAGAGCATAGATCCCCGCTGCTCGGGAATTCATGTGACAGGCCCGAGAACCGTCTGACATCGTCTCCACGTCCATAGAATGGCAATGCGGGTTGTTGATGCATTTTTCTAAGCAACGGATCATTTTTCCTCTGGGATCCAGCATGACTGTGCCTAGTCGTAAGTTGGAAGGCATGGCGTAACCGTCGCCACACTGAGACGGCTCGTAGACTGTAGTCACTGTGTTTGACAACTTTGAGGTGCAAAGCGTCATCAAGTTGAGGACGCTCACGAACGCCAGCAGAAAGTGATTGGCCGTCTGATCCATTCTGAAACTTTACAGAAACCATTTCGATAATTTGGCGTTGATGTAAGCGATCTAAATTATTCTATCTACTTGTTTTTATTTTCCGAATCTATACCACAGGCTACCGGTTTCACTTGTTATATAATCCTTTAGCTCAAAAAAGGGTATTAGCAAAAATGAGGATCAGTGATCATGAATTAGAAATTGAAAGAGGGCGATATACAAAACCAAAGAAGCCAATTGACAAAAGGAAATGCCCCCACTGCGACTCAGTAGAAGATGAAGCACACTTTTTTCTAGAATGCAGTGAACACAGAGTCGAACGGGAAATACTGTTCGCTTCCATACCGGAGGTGAATTTGCAGGGTCCAACAGACAATAAACTATCTATTTTACTCATTCCACTCTCTGCGCAGAGTGTGATTGCCATATGTAAATTTGTTAACAGTGCAATTAAAAAGCGTGTATTCCTGCGTGGATGAGCATAGTTTATTACTTAAATTATTGTAAATGTAAACCATTTCTTTGTGCTCAATAAATTATTATTATTATTATATTCTATAAAGATTTGAAAGTTAGGCCCTGTGCCTATATCATGAATATGAGGCTTAGTAAAACAAGTATCTAATGTAACTAATTAATGTAAAGTAACTAATGTATCTCCAAATAACAAAGCATGACAAACGTTTCGGAAATTAAATATAAGTCATAATATCAGGTATCAAAACGCACCTAGATATGAGGCGTGTTTAGACATTTTAAATTAAAAAGAACGTTTGATGTTTACCTGTACGCCAGAGCTACAACCAAAAACGTATTTCCAGTTTGTGAATGTTGCGAAGCAAACCGGTGTACCCACAAAGTGTGCACAATCAACCCAATCTGTACCCCTCAGGAACTGACGGAAATCTGAGGGCGAAAATCTGGCGGCAATCTGAAATGTCGCTGTCGCCTATTGACCTCTTCTTTCATATATCATTTACCAAAAACTCCATTTCCGTTAGTATACATATGTTGCATTGCTGCGGTGATCCATACATATTATATAAAATTACATGGAGACAAAAGGGCAATCAAATTATAGATCAATTATCGTCGTCGATACAAAAAGGTGATTAAATTATTGATTAATCAACTAGGCAATGATTGGGGGCGCATGATATCAATATCTAGTATTATGTTAAGCATTGTTGTAAATTTTTGTACCGTGAACGTACAATTTCTAATAATTCTGTTGCCAAACAAACAACAATAGTTTTGAAGAAATTTTAATTTTAGCTATATATACTTTGTCTTAACTGTACCTTATTACATAGTACGTTTTAAGTCGACAAGATTGTTCGCGTGTAAAAACACTCAGTTGCTTGATCAATGTCAATCGAGACATTATTGATTTTTCTAATTTCTTTGTGTTGATCAAAGGACCATTGATCTGTCCGTCAAATGGGGGGGGGGGGGGGGGGCAGCAAGCAATTAGGGCTTGGTTATTGATTCTATTTCGATGTCTTTCACGAAAACAGATGGAAGCGTTTTCTTAAACAAAATAGACTTATTTCTATTCCGCGCGTGCTATGTTGTGAATAAAGTTTCATGCATAACATGAAAGTTTTGTTAGTTCAAAAATATTAGATGGTCCAAGAAAATGACCTTCATTGTAATAGGCTAAGTCTTTTTTTTTTTTTTTTTTCGTTCTGGGGGCAAATAGGTCCGTTCGTATCAACTTCACTTTCGGCATTATTTCATTTTTTTCTCAAAAATAAATAATGACTGAATAAATAAATAAATAAATAAATAAATAGGTCTAAATAAATAGCCTTAATAAAAAGTAATAGGCCTATATTTCAATATCTGGGTTTCACTTCGTTTTTGGTGAACGATGTTTCTTGTGATTCAGGAGAATCACTTTTTGTAGGAAGGGGGTAGTGTCATAATCTGGGTTTCGTTTAATTTTCAGTGAACGATGTTCAGAGCATTTTGGCTCTCAAGTTATCCGGTCCTGTCCAACATTTAGTCGGTGTCGAAGTCGGTATCGCCGACTATTCATGATCATTGTTTATCCTATTTGTTACCTTCAAAACTCGCCTGTATGCTGCCGTAACTTCCGTGTGGTCGCGAAAAATGGTTCGGATATACCTCTCCCCCCCCCCACACACACACACACTCACACACTCAAACACACACACACACACACACACACACACACACAAACACGTTTTTTCTTCTAGTGAATTCAGAACAGAACGTCATACTATTACACTCGGAACTACTTGGAATCAGCCGAGGATTGCCGATTGTCATACTAATGGGCGCCGCCATTACCCATTTTGGGAGTTGCTACGCGTGTCGAAGTTCACGCGGTGACGTAATCCCTGACGACTCAGAAAAAGTATAAATAGGAGTCACTGATAGTCTATCCGTCAGTACTAGATCGTGGTTTGTAGGTTTATAGTTAGTACAGCTAATTTAGATAATGAAGGATGTTTATAAATTTTATTCTATGTCTTTAGTGCAATTTTCGTGACTAGTCTTGATCAGCGCTGCCGTCGCGGACGCTCCTTTTCCTTGTGTTAGTTTTTGTGAATTTTTCCTTTTCTTTCTCCGATACTTGAGGATTTTTTTAGGAATTATGTAATAGGAGACAAGGCATTATTTTTCTTTTTAGTTTTCACATATTTATTTTATTTTATTTTTATTATTAGTTCATAACCAATCTTATGGTCATATTATAATTTTCTCATCAGGTCACTGTCACTTTCTTATGTTCACGCTCTAATTTTTTCATCAGGCCAGTCATTCTCATGTGGTCATATTATTATTATTTTCTCATCATGTCAGTCACTCTCGTATTGTCATATATTATGGTCAATACACCGGTATATTATAACTGCACTGAGATTGTGAGATTGAAAGGGCTCCGCACGATTAATTTTTCCTGCGTGATGACATGGCATAAAATGACACGGCACCTGCTCGCCGCAGCCCGTACGTGTATGTAGCTGCTTACGATGTCAAAAAATTCGTAACATTCGTTAAATCGTACACGATTTCATTGTATGACGCCCGCGGCAAATGTAATCTAGGCAGAAATCTTTATATAACCACACAGTACATGTAACTATATCATTTATTCTTACATCAAACAATTTGTAGACCAAAATTTAAAATTAAAATTACTGACCAAAATTTACACACTATATCAGTGACACATGTTAACATTAGAAATGTTTCAGCCAAAAAATTAATAATAATCAAACAATCAAAAAGCTCCGAGACGTTATGTCAGATAATAGTCCAAACTGAATTGTATCCATTACCACATCAACAATTTTAAACATTGAAAAGACAACAATTGGAAGGAAAATCGATTAACAAAGAGAATACCAAAACGTCTGAATATATCTATATGCCAGTATGTTTCTGTATGCATGTATGTGTGCGCATGTTTATGTGCGTGTGCATGCATGTGTGCTTGTGTGTGTCAATCCTGCTTCGGTTTTCTACCACGGTTGTTTTTAGAACATATTCAAAATACGATGGCAATTTTGCAACCCCTAAATATGGACTTATCCGAGGCAGTCAATATGACCTGATTGTGAAACTGAACTGTTAAATCCGTTTCCATTTATATAGTGTCTGAATATTTGCATTTCTCTCGTGGCGGTGGTCAAATTATCGGTCGACTCAGTCATTCATCCTCATCTTCATCATCGTCATCATCACCATCGTTGTCATCCACGAACTTTACCAACTTTTGAAGGAGCTGAAATGCCGACAATATTTGCCTCGATAAATTTGCATAAATTTGCATAATGCAACTGCAGTTCTTTTATGGAATGAAGTGAATTTCTACCTGGACATTCCATCTCCAAAATAATTTCTTGAATAAATATTACAGTAATATACTGATCAATATACACTTAGATTTTAGTAAAACAGTTATATGAAAAATTGGACATAATATCGTATTTTGTCCATGATGAAAATGATCATATTCAAAATGGCATAAAATGAACAATTTCCAGCCTGTTTACAGATGTGAATAGTTAAATGTTCACTGCAAGATCATTTAAGAAATTTCAACCAGCATAACTAAATGAGACACAACAGTGATCGACTGTTCTTTATGATAACATCACAGTTTTTACCTTCGCCAAGAAGGTCATGTTTTCACCCCTGTCTTTCTGTCTGTCTGTTTGTCATCAACATAACTCAAAAAGTTACGGACCGATTTTGATGAAATTTTCAGGGTAGGTCAGAAATGGGTCAACTTAGAAGTGATTAGTTTTTGGTGGTGATCCGGATCAATAATCAATCAATAATCAATAATAATAAAAAATCGCTGCCTTGGCGGAGGTCTGCGCTCTCGGAGTGCTTTTCTAGTTAGAAATAGTATTAAAATGATAACATTTAATCCTTTCAGTAAGAAATGCATTAAAAAACTCCACTTATGCTCGACAGCGCTAGCGTTGTAGTATATCAAGTCAGATCGACCATATTCCGGTTTACAACTATGATGTGAAAGCTCTTACGTCGTCCCTGTCTCTCTCTCCCGCTTCCTGGCCGTCTTCCATCTGCGTGGTTTCGCCCATCATTGAGCGACGACGGCGGCGGCGGCGGCGGCGGCGGCGGCGGCGGGTATTACCTATAAGCGGAATGAAAAACAAACTTTCTCTGCAATAACATACATTCGCTCTCATTTGATATCCCAAAATATTTTCTCTTGCCTTAAATGTCGTTTACTATATATATAATTCATTAGTTTCTCAAAGCATTTTTCCGACGGCACTAGTAACTTTAGTTTTTGCGCAGGTTTGTGAAGGAGGGTTATACACTGGGGAACAAAACCAAAACAGTTTTATCTCTCCTTTTATCCCACATAGTACATGTATCATGCTTACCTTCCGATTCCTCAAACATCTCCACCAAGAGCATGATGGTCAAAAGCAGAGCAAACCACTTCAGCTTGTTCATAGTGAGTGTGTGGCAACGGGACAGCAGTTGTCCTTGCAAAGGGCACGCAC